ACCTCTTATTGGGATGATCCAAATGATTTTCTTTGAACTCTGTAACATAGGCTACTATACATGGCTAAAAACGTAGAATAGATAGAGCATCAATCATGAAAAATTGTCATAATATATCAATTTGATGCTTTTGCTTTAAATATTCTATTTGCTTGCTTGAAGTAAAATCTAAGCCTCATGAAAACTTGAGATTAAGTTGTAAGTTTTTAAAGCTCATGTTGGCGTCTATAGGTGGTCCATTTTTTAATTGCTAATTGCACCGATTCTCCTTCTCCGCTGAAATTATGCAATATTAGTTTTCTATCCAAAATTGTCTTGGTGGTGTTTTGAATCTTGCCAGAAGCAAACATTTAAAAGATAACATTTATGAAGATCTTTAGAAAAAGGAACCTGATAATTTTGGTGATTATATGAATATTTCTAATTTCTCATGCACTAATCTTTCGTCCCCATGATTAATGCACTGTGATATATGATAGTAATTATTACTTGGCATCGAGCGTTCATTTTTTTTACTGGACACACCTGTGATTTTTGCATGATTATATCTCTTGATTCTTTAAGTATCTTTGCCCAGAAGACAAACACTTTAAATTTTCTAAAGACGTGAAAAATTAAATTCTTCAGAAAAAAAAAGTATTCACTTTTCTAGGCAATCCCTGAAGGATCGCTTTGATTTATGGAAGCCAATAATTTGATCAAAAAGTTCTTTTTCCCATTCCACGCAAATAATATTGTACTCCAGCAGCAGTACATGATTAGGAATTGCACTTAGCATTCTGAATTGATATCTATATTAGTAGTCGCAGAGAAGCACAACAAATTGATGATTAGAAATCACAATATCAGACTAGTTAGCTTACGAGTTGTGTTTGTATCACATGCTACAATTCAGAAAATTACTTATACGCGTGGACAAGGGGGAGACTATGAACATAGTAGGAGATCTTATCCTATAGCCATTTTTGGATTTTAAACCCTCGACTGAATACAATTCAACAAGTAACCTTGTACTCTTACAATAGTACAACTAAAAGCATTATGAACTAATCTTTGTATTAGTAGTTGTTAAAAACACAACCAGCTGTTGTGAGAAACCATAATGCAAGTTTAATTGGTTCAGTCATAGTGCCTGAAGCACATGTCATAATTCAAATTCATAAGCTCGGACGAGGGGGAGGTAGTAGATCTTATTGAGGTGGTCAAGGAAAACTATTTGGTTTTTCTATATTTGGATTATATGCATTTGTCAGACAATTTTAATTTATCTTGATTTTGCTTTAAATTCTTGTGAACCTATGTGGTTTTTATTCATATGTGTATATTTTAGAATTTGTTTGACCTAAAATACAACATGTTGCGATGAGTTTGAGATTTAGGGACCCAAATTCTTTTAAATTCTGGCATGAGCGATTGGGTCATCTTGGGCAAAATATGATTTGTCGGATTTTCTTAAATTAAATGGGGTATTTAAACCAAATCCGACCAACTGCATATCACAATTTCCCCCCTTTATCTAATACGTGGTGTAGAAGTGAAACATTTCCCATCTGCGTATTATTTATTTGCAGTCCATGTTTCTATATCACCACCATAGCGTACCTCTATGGGACCTCGGTGAAGGTACATACATTATTTATGAAACACCGTCAATAATTTAGTACCTATGGCCCATGTTAGGGGATCAATTTATAATTTGGTACGCTGACTGCATTTTTATTGAAGATCGATTCTCGACATTAAGGGGAGATTAGTGCCCAAAATACAAAATAATGTCAAGAAATTCTATTGGTGAAAAAGATCTTTAATATTTATATCCACGTACTAGTCAAACTGAACCAGAAGTTCAAATGATAATCTGCTAAGAAAAGAGTGACTAAGCCCCATATTCATGTTGAATATATCATTGATGATTTGGTATGCCAGAAGCATATTGTGCCAGAAGCATATAAAACATGTTAGTGTAAAAGATAAAAGTCCACGACAAACTAAATTATATATATAGAAAGACAGTCACTCTCATAACCTCCAGAAGAGGTTCATCCCGAAGATGGAATCTCTAGTAAATTGCACGTGCACTTGATAATCATAATACTAGAGATGCGGAACGGCCAAATCCAATTGTTAAGGGAAATGACGAGGATTTGGTTGATATAAAATATGAATTGAAGTGGCCACGAATTTCAGAAAAAGGAGAAATATATAATAGAAATATAAAAGTTGTCGACAACATAGTTGCCTCTATATTTGCTCTTACTATCTCCAAAAATAATCTGGATCCAGAACCTAAGTCGGTAGTAGAGTGCTTGAAGCACTCGGACTAGGTGAGATGGAAAGTGGCAATTGAGGCTGAGCTGAACTCGCTAAAGTATTTTTGAACCTGTAGTTCATATATCCCTGCAGGATATAATGGGTCTTCGTAATAAAAATAAATGAGAATTGTAAGGTGGTGAGATATAAAGCGAGATTCATAGCTCAATGGGTTCACGCAGAGACCCGGCATCGATTTAGATGTAAAATATTCTCCTATTAGTGATTGACGTTCCGCAAGTTAATACATATGGCAGAAACTATGAATTTATATATGCAGTATATGTACGTCATGACCATATTTTTATATGAGTCATTAGACGCTAATATTTTTATAGGAAAGTCCCTGATGGACTTAAAATTCCTAAATTGAGAGAAAATAAGAATCGCAACATGTATAGCATTAAATTGCAAAGGTTGTTATACGACTTGAAATAGTCGGGTAGAATGTGGTATAACTGACTGAGCAAGTTCCTTCTGAAGAGGAGATATGCAAATAATGATGTCTGCCCTTGTGTGTTTATAAATATCTTTTGTATTATATCAGTCTATATTGATGATATAAATGTTATTGGAATGCACAAGGAGCTTACAGAAGCTAGCTCATGCCTAAAGACGGAGTTTGAAATGAAAGACTTGGGAAAAACCAAGTTTTGTCTCGGCCTGCAGATCGAGCATTTTCCCAGAAGGAATTTTACTACACCAGTCAACCTATGTGATGAAAAAGGTTTTTGGAAAGATTTTATATAGATAAATCTCATCCACTTAGCACACCAATGGTCGTCCGGTCCCTCGAAGTGGATAAAGACCCATTTAGACCCAAAGAAGATAATGAAGAAATGTTAGGGCCAGAAGTTCCCTATCTGAGCACCATTGGAGCACTTCTTTATCTCGCAAATTGCACCAGACCTGATATTGCATTTGCGGTGAACTTGCTAGCAAGGTATAATGCTTATCCTACAAGGACGCAATGGAATGTCGTTAAACATTTCCTTCGCTATCTTCAAGGTACAAAAGATCTTGGACTATTCTATAAAAGAAACCAAGATATGACATTGGTGGGCTATTAGAATGCTGGCTACATATCTGATCCCCATAACGTCAGATCCCAGACTGGTTATGTTTTTCTCTGTGGTGGTACTGTCGTTTCTTAGAGGTCTGTTAAGCAGACCATGGTGACTACTTCTTCTAACCACTCAGAGATTATCGCTTTATATGAGACCTCACGAGAATGTGTATGATTAAGATCGTTGATACGACATATTTGTGGCTCGTGTGGTCTAGCGAAAGATGATATTACCCCCACTGTCCTTTATGAGGACAATGCAGCTTGTGTTGCACAAATGAGCAGTGGATATGTAAAAGGAACCATGACAAAACATATTACGCCAAAATTCTTTTATCCACATGAGCTCCAAAAGAATGGCGAAATCACCATCGAAAAAGTTCGCTCAAGTGACAATCTTGCAGATTTGTTCACTAAATCTCTGCCTACGTCAAATTATGAGAAATATGTTCACAATATGCATAGGCTTGAAAGACTATCTTCTTCAGAGGGAGCAAATTCTTAAAGAACAATCCTGAAGATTGAACCCTGAAGGTCTATTATCATAATTTGCCCCTTTTCGCTAAGTTTTGTCCCACTGGGTTTTTCTTAGCATAGACTCAGAAGATTGTCATCATCAGGGGGAGCGAATTTTCAACGTAATCCCGAAGATTATGATCAGGGGGAGCGAATTTTCAACGTAATCCCGAAGATTATGCCTTGAAGGACTATAGTTGTACTCTTTTTCCCTTTACTAAGTTTTGTCCCACAGGGTTTTCTTAGTTAAAGATTTTTAATGAGGCAAGTAATGCAACACAAGATTTGGATCCCGAAGATCTATAGTTGTACTCTTTTTCCCTTTGCTAAGTTTTGCCCCACGGGGTTTTTTTTAGCTAAAGGTTTTTAATGAGGCAACTAATGTAACAAGAATCTACTAATGTCGTGTACTCTTTTCCTCGACTAGTTTTTCTCCCACTGGGTTTTTCTAGCGAGGTTTTTAACGAGGCATTGACATCATGTAGTAATGTCCAAGGGGGAGTGTTGTAAATATAAATACAATGAATGTGGACATTACTAGAAGAAGACTCTTCACCTACTTGTGACTTTTAGTATTCTCTTCCACATCTATATAATGTAATCCATGGAAGACAAAATGTAAGTAGGAATAAAAAAGATAAATAAAATGAGAATCACTTTTCTCCCTATTTCTTCTCTTGTCTATTTACATTTACATTTCATGTTTGATTCTTACTTTTGATATGTGATGTATGTAGATATATAACGAGATTACAACAATTTTATTATTTTTAAACAATTAATAGTCATAATATTATTGATAATTATAATTATTTAGAAAGACGAGGAGGTGCGTAAATAATACGAGGTTATATTTATTTAATAAAATATTAATTAGAGATAATAACATAGTTAGAATTTATTAATTAGAGGTTATATTTATTTTGTGCTAATGAAACATATATAATATCACCATCTGCAAAATACTGAAACGGTGAGTACAATGACGGATGTTAAAGTTGGCGTTGGGCCCAAGCCCATGGGTCAATGATGGGTAATCCGTCCGACGCGATCAGCTAAATCTCTGCCGTCCATATATTGAAATCATCAGCATTTTTCTTAGCCCCTGCTCCTTCTCATTCGTTCTCGATCCGAAGACAAAACCCCGATCACAGAGAAAACCTAAAAACATACGCAACAAAGAAAACAAAGGAGAGGAGGAAAGGAAGGAAAAGAGAGAGAGAGGGAGAGAAAATGCAGGGAGGCGAAGATGTGAGCATCGAGGAGCTCGCCTCGAATCTCTCAACCTACAAGGATCAGCTCCATCAGGTTCTTCTCTCTTTCTCTCTCTTAGGGTTTCGCTTACTTCGAAGGCGTTTATTTCTAGGGTTTGTTTTTGTCATCAGTTTTATGTAATTGAACTGCGCGGTTCAAGAGTTTTGATAATTGAATTGTAATTCTGAATGAAATTTGGGGATGTGGAGAGATAAATTTGTCTTGTAAAAACAGGAAATTTTGCTTTTTTGACGGTCCTTTAAGTTCAAAATTGCGTTAAATTGATAGTAAAAACAAATTTCGGGGTAAAGTTTTCTTATAGTTCCTGGCTTTTATATTGCGTTGAAGTTCTATGTTTATGATTTTTTTTTATTAAATTTCCATGATTAGGAATTAATTTGTCCTTTCTTGTAAATGCATTCCCTTAGATGTTACAGATATTTTGGTAAATTATTTTAGGTATGTTGTGAAAGCCAAGTTCTGTTTTTTGAAGGGGAAAAAACTCTTTTTTGTTCACATTTATTTCCATGAAAAAGGTGATGAAGCGTAGACCTATCATCTAGAGCTATGTAGGCACATTGTGTGCTAGCTTGTTTGAGGTAATAGTCTCTCAAGTTTTTTTGTGTTGTGGTGCAAGTCGTGCTTTTTAAATGTGCTTAATGTATATGCATACTTGCCAATTGCCATTGAATTGCATGTTGTAAACAGTGTTTTAAAGCTAGTGCCTAGCCTGCCTAGGTGTCTGCCTTGGTCTTGGGAGTGTCTAGTGGAGCGTGGACCACTTACATGGACTGCACCTCTTAGGTCTTCATTGGGATTTCCTCCGCTGCAGCCTCCATATTGTCCAACCTCCTCTGAACTCCTCCGGTCTCCTCCACTAACTGTGAACACCTCCACTTCCTCCAACTTTCAAACAGCCTCCTCCACCAACCCTTAAACAAAGAAAGAAACTGCTTAGGCGCCAAGCGCCAGTCCAGCGCCTAGCGGTGCCCATTGATTTCTATAATATTGGCATCTATTATCAATTATTGTAACTAAAATAATATAGAAAAACTTCCTAGGCCTTGCCCAGGCTCTAGGCGACATGTCCTGCACCTAGGCCGCTTAGCGCTTTATGTGACCTTGGTTATAATATGTCTTCGAAGCTGATATCAGAAATAAAGTCCATTTGCATATTGACTGTTATTCCTAACAGAAAGAATCATAGGGTAGAAACTAGTATAACTTGAGATAGGTTCGTAGGATTCTAACTTGGTTTAAATAAAGATGCCCTTTTCTTTGCTATGTAATCAGGACGGGCCATTTTTTTATATTGGGAGCGAGTGAACTATATTGGCTTTGTTAGCTAGATGAGGACCCCTTAGCTTACTAGTTGCAGAAAATATCTCCCAAGTCTACTTTATTTTGTGCAATCCATCTTTGTCTATGCAGATCATGCCATTTAAGTTATGCTTTATTGATCATTTTTTCATATAGTTTTGATCTAAATCTAACGCTTACCAAAATGGATAACCCATCTCAATGGTTCCAATTGAGTTTTTTTTTAAGTTAAGAAGGATATGAATTATTTACACACGTGAATTAAAATATGAGCTAACACAATATGGATGTATGTAGATATATACTTAATTGATATGAACTGTTGAGTATGCATTGCTCTGTCAGCTCTACCTACCTATGCTTCAAGGTTAATCCTGTGAAGGGAACCACCTGCATAACAAATAAGCCTATTCCTTGTTACACTTACTGTAGTGTGCCCTTTTTTTTTGTATTGTCTGACATTTGTATTATAGCCTTATAGGTAGGTAATTTGTAAGGAAGTGCTTGCTCATTACTTTCCCACTCACCTTCATTCTTTTATCGTAATAGTTTTGTGGATTTCTTTTCTTGAAACTGCAAATCAAAATTTCCAAACATTCACCATTGCAATTGTTTTTTTCTCCCTGGAATTAGGTTAGGAAACTTCTGATCGATGAACCTGGGAACTCAGAATATGCTGATATGGAAAAGGAGCTGGAAGAGGTGAGCCTTTACTTAAACTCGCTTTCTTTCATATGGTGATTGTTTGTCTGATTTTTTATTTCTATTGAAATTTTTAGACCTTTGTAAAGTTAGATAAATAGAAAGCATGGTTGTGTAATAGATGGTTTTTTCTTTGCTATATTACTGTGAAAATTTTGGAAAGATAGTTCTCCTTTGTCCTCTTTTGTTTTTTAGGAGGTATCAATGCATGGAGTGCTATATGGCTGCATGATGGAAGTTGGTATTTGGTGAAAATTTTAGTTTCTTATCCTTCAGAAGGCAAGAAAGGTGATTAGATCCATAAAAAGAAAGAAAAACATCACTCTTATTGGCAGCTATTGGAGCTGTATGGTAAATTATGATATAACAAGAGAACAGTAGGTGACAAATCCTCCTTGCTTTATGGAGATGCCCATCACCCTTCATTTTGGTTCCTTTGCAGGTCTTGTGTGTCGTGATGGCCTGCCTGCCTGGAAACTCCTGATTTCAGATCTTCATGTTGAAATTCTAAGTTCGAAATTCAAAAATTTAATCTGGAACTTTTAATAATGGAATCTTCTTATAATTTTGAAATTGACGTTCATGTAATATTTGAGGATGCAGGTCATCGCACTTACGGAAGAACTCTTAGCTACTGCAAAGCATAATGAAGAATCTGATCTGGTGACCCAACATAATGCAGATGCATCTCCCGAGCAGGAGCCGTTTAGTAGAATTTCACAGTTAAACACCGTAAGTTCTTAAGATACTATGCATAATTAGCATGCCTCTTTATGTTAGAAATAGATCCACTTGACTTTGAAAAGTCAAGAAAAGTGCAATAGTTAAACAAAATCCTGTTAACGGCACTGTGAGCAATAAAAAGAAGAATCTTGTCTATCCTGAATACTGACTTAGTGACTTTAAAGAAAAAATTACTTATTAGCTTGTTTGCCATGATTGACTGGAATACACTACTTCGCATATATTGAAGTAGTAGTTTTGTTTTGGGATATCCGTTTAGTATGCATTTATGTAGTATTTTTGGTCATACCAAGAAACCTTTCTTTTGATTCAAAGTTGGGTCCTCAGTATGCTACTATCAGTTTGGCATTCATTGAAGGGTAGCGGGATTTACATTTAAGAAGTACATGGCAAGTTGAGTCCTTTCTTTTGATTCAAAGTTGGGTTTTCAATTTAAATCTATGCTAAGATTCTTAATCAATCAACAGATGCCAAGGAATTGCCATATGGCGTAATTGGTGTTAGACGGCTTCTCAAGCAGTGTTCTCTCTCTTTTTTCCCTTCTTTTATTTTCTTTTTTCTTAAGTGAAAAAAAAATCCTTTGAGAATTTAACTTTAGCATAAATAACTCGTATATGCACAACTATTGGTTGTGAGTTTGCTTGTTGCGGCCTCTCGTTTGAGGAATATAGAAGATGAATCCAGTTAGGAATATCTATGAGCATATACATGTAAAGGACAAAACCATAAATATCAATTAGTTTTTTGCTTTCCATTGGTGGCTATGGATGCTTTTGTTTCCATGTTTCTCATGTGATTTCCTGGAAAATGGATACTATCATATTTACATGGCTGACAGATCTTTAGTTATAGCATCTTATTATTAAGGTTTACATGTACCCAAAGATTAGCATAATATCTAAATATGGCCATATCTTAATCTGTCTTAAGTGTTTCTGAATTTGATAATTGGGAGGATACTTCATAAGGATATTCTCAAGTAGGTTCTGCTATTGCGTAACATTTTTTGTTTATATCATACAAGTAGCTGTGTTGTTCATTGAATAACTTACATTTACCTTCCTGCATGAACATCCTCCTGCGCTACTGATAAAAATGAAATTTGAGTTTGTTAAAAAAAAAGAAATCTACCTGGATATCTTTATCTTTGGTTGTCTCATAATTTCTGCTCATATATCTGATGTCTTTTGCTTTAGGTATCAAGTAAATATGAGAGGTTTTCTGTTGGCACTAAAGTCCAAGCTGTTTGGAGTGAAGATGGGGAGTGGTGAGTAAGAGTTTATGATTAAGTTGGATAAATTTTGAGTTGTTTTATCCTTTTGTTGATTCTGTGTTTGATTGGTTGAATACTTAGGTATGATGCGACCGTCGACGCTATTACTCCTAATGGTACTTACTATGTTGCCTATGATGGATGGGGAAACAAGGAGGAGGTATGTTGGATAATGTGTTTTTTAATAAGCCATATCTTCCAAGAAAGTCTGTATTTTAATTAAATTTGGTTGGTTGAGAAGGAAACATTAATGCCATGGATATATTGCAGATGTTGCAATTCCATGCATATATAATTCCACAATTGAGCTTGGGATTCTCATTTAGGGTTGCGAAAAATTGACATGACCAGCCAGTTTCGTTGACTTAGATGGCAGCTTTAAGTTGGTCTCATCCAGTTTAAATAGGTATATCAGGCTTAGTTCGAGCACTCTGAAGCAATAATCCTCTTATGAAAGCAATTTTTAGGGCAGCGATAGTTGAATTAAAAATTTGGGAAATACTGGGGGACATAATTTTGAAGGTTGTGATATTAGTTATGCCAAATGAGCTGCCAAGAGATGTATTATGGGTTCACCTTGCTAGTCACTTCAAACTAGGTTGGATCTCTCGGGAGCTCATTTTGGTAAATAAGGTGGCATCTCATAGCCAATATCCCATCGTGGGTGCATACATGCATGTGTGGGTATGTGTGCGCATGTGTTGCAAAATGAATTACAAAGAGATAGACTAATGGTGACAATGTGTCCTGCGAGTCACATTAGAGCAGGTGGGCCTCTTTTCTCTTTTCTAACCTCGCTAAATGAGGTAATAGCTCATTTTACATATACACATGCACACATATAGTTATAAGAGATATTGGATATTTGGTACAATTTGCATCTTGACTTTACTTGCATCATTTGGTACTTCTCAAATGCTTTATGTAGCTGTCCACAATGTTGTAGTTTATTAGATACGCGAATGTCGAAAGTGCTTGCGAACTGTGTCATGTAATGTGGCTTAGATTCTCT